TAGAATGCTTCTCAGTACAATCGTTAGTAACCATATTTCAGTCAATACAAGTAATTACACTTAAACACCTTTATAATCATGACATGACACATGTCATGAATATGAAGGTTTTTTATGCATGTTTATGACAACTGTCATTAAGTGTCATTCGCTCAGTTATGTAATTTTTTATGCAAATATGACATTGTTTGAGATGTCTTTGTTATGGGCTATGGTTAGGGGTAAGGGTAGGGGTAGGGTTAGGTTAGGGTTAGGTCAAATAATGTCATCTTTGCATTAAAAATTACATAACTGAGCGAATGACACTTAATGACAGTTGTCATAAACATGCATAAAACCTCATTCATATTCATGACATGTGTCATGTCATGATTATGAAGGTGTCATGTCAGTCTTATACACCCCTTCAAGTAAAGTGTTACCATTAATGTTATTTCTATCATAACTAACTAAAGTATTTTAGAATGCTTCTCTGTACAATCGTTAGTAAACATATTTCAGTCAATACAAGTAATTACACTTAAAATCACATTAATTAAGTGTCTTTTTACATTGTTACATTCAGTTTGCACTTAAGTATATTCTTTTAAAAATATATTATTTCCGTAAATACTATTGCTAAGGTGCACTTCTTTCACAAGGGCAATCACTCTGGAATCGCAGGAAAATTTGCAGGCGAAATCCAGTGATTTCATTTGTGCGTTCGGGCGTTTTATGAAGAACTTCCCTATGCAGATTTCACTCTGCGTTCAAGTTGTTCATGCAAATTCACTGTGCTGACCACCAGAAAGCTGCTTGGTTTGAAAGTGACATGAGCTGTGCTTCATCGCTACACCGTTTGTCCAGGCTTAACATGAGCCTTTAACTCGGTGCAGTGGATTAAATACACCACAGCTAGCTCAGGCTTTGAAGATTTCCAGTAAATATAAATGATTTAGCCTTAATTAAAAACCCAGGAGTCCTTGTACTGTATGTGTCAGTGAGAAAAGTGTGCTAGCTTGAGCTCCAATAATGGTATTCAGGTTGGGAATTGTGCAGCCTTGTGTATGAACAGCTCTCATGTCCTTCATCAGGAGTCAAACATTTGGCACTGACAGGCTCCTCGTAATCTCTCCGTCTGAGAGCGGGCTGATGGTGGGAACGCCGGCCCGGACAGATGACATGTTAACAGAATCATTTCATGCCCCAGTACACACACCAACACTGATTTATTCACCCGCTGCTGTGCTAAAGGTCCCACGCATCTGATTTATGCCCAAATATCTAATTTCATAAAAAAAAAAAAAAGAAAGAACAGGAAGGTAGAAGCAAGAGATAGAGGGGGAGAGATTTATGCCCAAATATCTAATTTCAAAAAAAAAAAAAAAAGAAAGAACAGGAAGGTAGAAGCAAGAGATAGAGGGGGAGAGACAGGATGGTGAAAAAGTAGAGGGAGCACATCATTTTAAAGCGCGTCATGACGGTGTAGATACTATACATGATTATTGCACTCAGGCATAAACTATAAGACAAATGGGCCGGCAAAGGCAATCGCACAGTTTTCTAACATGATCATTTCTCATATCCAGCATTCATAATCGAAACATCAAGCGGCATTAAAGCACCTTTACGCTACCCAAGCTCACTGAAAATGCGTGTTTCTACCTACATTTCTGCAAAACTCAAAAAATTTACCTAAACGTATGAACAGCTGCAGTTTCCAGCTAAAATCAACACTAGAGGCAGTGACGTTCAAAAGCGTTTAGTTCAAAGAAAAGTAAAGGTTCAAAAGTTGTTGTATGTTGAATGACACATATCTATGTCTTCATATCAGTGTATTGTTTAAAATGGTCCGTTTGTGAGCGTATCCTGAATGTTTAAAGGGGTCATATGATGTTGCTAAAAATAACATTATTTTGTGTATTTGGTGTAATGAAATGTGTTTATGCGGTTTACGGTTCAAAAAAAACATTATTTTCCACATACTGTACATTATTGTTTCTCCTCTATGCCCCGCCTTTCTGAAACGTGTCGAGTTACTCTCCCAGGATCAGGAAACAGTCCTCCATAAAATGTGCTGCACACATCTGAATATTTGGGTTGAAGTGTTCTGGAACAGTGTTGTAAATACAACTTAACCACTGATTTCTAGTCGTGTCCTCTTTTGGAAGACCAAACAAAGTAGTTTCGCTTTCACAACTAAACAGCATCACACACCGCGGCCTAGAGTGAGCGGCGGCCGGCTTGAGTGAGCAGAGGCAGAATCGACGAAGGAGCGTCCGGAGGGCTTGCGGCAACCACATGTGACGACCCCGGGCTGGACTCTGCTTCGTCCACGTTGAAAGCCGATCCAGCGATCCACAGCGCGAAGTTGATGTATTTCCTCAACGACCAGCACGGATCAGCTCCAGACATGACGAAGC